GAATTTCACAATGGTGACAGCAGAGCATTCAATCAAGTGCAGGGGCTGAACGCCTGTGAAGCCCGCCTCTGTGGGGACCCAGGAAAAGGGAGTCGCTTCAAGGTCTGCTTTGGAGGTAAGAATTGGCCAGGATTCTGGCAGAGACTGGACGCTGAGGCAGAATGTCTTGCCTGTGGCTCTCCTGGGTGTCCATGGGCCACAGCCCACACGCAGAAATCCCTTCTCCATGGGATGGACCGGGTCCAAGACCCCTGGGGGTCTCCCAGCCACTTATTAGATGCTAAATTATCACAGGTGTTACTCAAGTCCCATGCTCAGGTGGGGGCCGGCGGAGGGCCCCTCACCCCTCCCTCTCTACCCAGCCCCTGACTTCTGGGACTTTAAAGAGGTTACCCAACCCCTATTCATCTTCCTGACTCTAAGTCACTGGTCAGCATCCCTTCCTTCAGGAAGCCCTCCGGGCTGCCCCCTGCCCCCCTGAACTTGTACCCCCGTTACATACCCTAGGCTGCATCTCCAGGTTGCAACCCCCAGGTTGCTCAAGGGACCCCATTTTATGCCCTCCTAGCTCCCTGTGGCTCATCTTCAAGGCATTCTGTCACTCTGACACTGTGGGTGCAGTTAGCCATTTAAGGGTTCCAGCTCTGCCGGCGCTGGGCAGCCGAGACCTGGCCCAGAGGAGGGCTCCATATATCTGTTGAGTCTGAGAGGCACAGAGCATCCTCCCTGCATTCAGTGGCAGCCTGCCCGGGCCTCAGCTTCCCCTGCCACACACTCAGTGGTGTCCCATCCACTGGGCAGGCAGACCGACTGGGGATAGGGTCTGGGATCCCAGGTCTGGGATTTGGGACCCCAGGTCTGGGAGTTGGGTCTGGCTTTGGGATTGGGAGTCCTGGGTCTGAGATTGGGATCTGGGTTTCAGGGACTGGAGCTGGGGTCTGATTTAGGGTCTGGGGCCGGGGATCTGAGTTCTGGAGCCCCAGGTCTGGAATCTGAGGTCTGGAGTTTGGGATCCAGTGCCTGAGTTCTGAGGCCTGAGGTCTGGGATATAGGGACTGGGGTCCCAGGTCTGGGGCTGCTGGGATGGAGGATCTAGGATTTGGGGCTGGCGATCCTGAATTCGAGGTCAGGGTCTTGAGGTGTGGGGTCGCAATTTCTGGGTCTGGGGTCTAGTGTCTGAAGTAGGGGGTCTGGGCTCTTGTACCTGGGTTCCAGCGTATGGGGTCCACGGTCTGGGGTCGGGGTCTGAGGTTAAAGATCTAGAATCTGGGGGTCAGGGTCTGAGGTCCAGGATCTGGGAGTCCGGGTCTGAAGTAAAGGATATAGAGTCCGGGGTCCGGGTCCCGGGTGTGAAGTACGAGATCTAGCACTTGGGTTCCCATGTCCAGGCCCACGGTCGGAGGTACGAGGTCCGTTGCCCCTGCGTGCCCCTGCCCCGCCCCCGCCCTCCTCCTAGCCCCTCCCCGGCCCCCTCCCTTCTCCTCCCTGCTCTCCAAGTCCCCCACCTCCTCCCCCTCCCTTCTCTCCCCCTGCCCCTCCCCCTCCCTCCTCCTCTCCTCTCCCCCTCTTCCCCTCCTCTGCCCCCTCCTTTCTCCTCCCTCCCCTCCCCCTCCCAGGCCCTCCCCCCGCCCGCCCCGCCCCGCCCCCGCCCCGCCGGGCGCCGCACCGACAAGATGGCGGCGGGTGGGAGCGGCGGGCGCGCGTCGTGCCCGCCGGGGGTCGGCCCGGGCGCGGGGGGCGGCCCCGGGCCCAGCGCCAACGCCGCCCCGGCCCCCGGCAACGCAGCCGCCGCCGCTGCCGCCGTCGCCCCGGCCCCCGCCGCCCCCGGGCCGCCCCCGCCGGTGTCGGTGTCGGGTCCGGGGCCGGGCGCGCAGGCCGCTGCGGGCGGGGAGCGGGCGGCCGAGGAGCCGGGGGCGGGGGCGCTGCTGCGCGAGCCCGTCTACAACTGGCAGGCCACCAAGCCCACGGTGAAGGAGCGCTTCGCCTTCCTCTTCAACAACGAGGTGCTCTGCGACGTGCACTTCCTGGTGGGCAAGGGGCTCGGCGCGCAGCGCATCCCGGCGCACAGGTGGGCCGCCGTCCCGGGACCCGCCGCCCCCGGGGACCCAGCATCCCCGGGCCCAGACCCCGCCAGACCCCGGGACTCAGCCATCCCTGAGATCCCGCCACCCCTCCCCCTCGCCGGGGATACCCGCCACCCCCGGGGACCTAGTCATCCCCCAGGACCCGCCCTTCTTGGAACCCCTGCCGTTCCCGGGACCCCACCACCCTCAGGACCCCGTTGTCCCAGGACCCAACCCGTTATTCTTGGAACCCCTGCTGGTCTCGGGGACCTGCCCTCACCCCGGGACACCCACCATCCCTGGGACTCTGCTGTTCCCAGTACCACCATCCCCGGGCCCTAGCACCCCTAGGCCCTGTGACCCTGCCAGGCCCCCTTCCACTCGTACTTCCAGATACTGGCCGTATTCTGGTCCTGCGACCCCTGCCCCTCCAATCTCATCAGCGTCTCCTGGCTCTGTGACCCCTGACCCTGCCACCTTGGCCAGGATCTCCCAGACCCAGTGACCTCTTCCACCCCCAGCATCCCTGTGACCCCTCAGCCCCTGCCAGGCTCTCCAGACCCTGCAACCCCCAGCCTGGCCAGCCCGAGGACCCCCAGACACTACCATCTCCCTCCATTTCCTCCTTCCTGCCCCAGTGACCTCCTCCCCCAAGTGCCCCATCCTTCTGGGGCTGAGACCCCCAGAGCCCCACCAGACTCCCACCTTGTGAACCCAGGACCCCCAGTGACTCCCAGCTCTGCGATCACCCAGCTCTGCGACACCCCATCCCACAGGCCTCCTTTCGAAAGGCGGGGGGGTGTTGGTCCAGGCCCCATCTCTCTGCCAGTCTCCAGGGTGCAGCACCCAGACTCCTGGGTAGGGTGGGAGTGATGTCAGACAGCGTCCTGCCCACTGCTGGTTCCTCTGCCCCTGCTCGCTGGGGGGTGCTGGGGAGGGTTCTGTCTGGGGGAGGGGGGCTGCAGGGGTTCTCACCACTCTGCCTGAAGTGTCCTCCAACCTGCTGTGAGGGTCCTCCCCACCTTTCTGACGTGTGGCCTTTATTTAACTTGTGCCTTCGAGATTCCTCTTTCCGGCTTTTTTTGGTTATTTATATTCAACTGGGTCTAGATTCCTGTCCAAGGAAGCTTCCAGGCCCGTGATGCGGTCCCCAGTACCTCCGTGCCCTGTGTGTGTGTGTTGTGGCCCTCCCACCTCTCCCGCAAGCTGTGAGTAGAGGGCCAGTTGATGTGTCACCTGTGAGCCCCCAGCCTCCGTCATGCCTTTCTTGTCCCACATTCCTGCTGTGTGGACCTCCCAGATCGAAGGTTCTGGTTCTTTGTCTTTTCAGCCTTTGGGTTGTTATTTCATACGCATTGTTGACATTTTACCTGTAGCGATCAGGTAGATGACTGTACCGTGAGTGACCCTGGGCTCTGCTGAGCCTCAGTTCCCCCCCACCTCCCCACCCCCCAGGACCTGGGACTGACCACTCAGACACCTCCTTCCCAGGGCCACAGGGAGGGTGGACCCTGTGACCCAACCAGGTCCTTATCACAGTGGCCCGGGGCTCATCCTCCATACAGGCTGGCTTAAAATGTAGGTGGGGATGTGACCCAACGCATAAAGGAAACACCTCGCAGCCTCACTGATGGAACACAGACAGGAGTGGGGAAAATTCCTAATACCGTGCGCCATGCTCCCGGGCTGGACCTAACTCCCGCCTCTGTCCCAGGTGGGCTGGATCTGGGGACTTGCTTGTAAAGAGTAGATTGGAATCCCACCTTGGGGGAACCTGGCAGATGCCACCTCAGCCAGGTGGTCAAGGTCGACCTCAGGATGATGTCCTGGGGGTGTCAGGGTCCCCCTAGAAGGAATCAATGAGGAGGGCACCTCACCTCAGTGTGCTCCACCCCAAACCCTTAACCCCAGTGTAGTGGGTTGAATGGTGGCCCCCAACAAGGTGTGTCCACATCCTGACACCCAGAACCTGTGAACGGGACCTTATTTGGAAAAAGGGTCTTTGTAGATGTGATTAAGAGTTTCAAGAAGAGATCATCCTGGATTATCTGAACGGGCCGTAAATCCAACAAGTATCCTTATGAGAGACAGAGGAGAGACCGAGAGAAGACGGCCATGCGACAACAGAGGCAGAGATGGGAAGGACACACGGCCGCAAGCCCAGGACACCTGGGACCCCAGAAGCTGGAAGAGGCAAGAGGGGGACCCTCCCCGGGACCCTCCGGGGGCAGCACAACCCTGGGACACACTGACCTTGGACATGCGGCCTCCAGAACGTGAGAGAGGAAATTCCTGTTCTTTCAAGTCACCCAATTTGCAGTAATTTGTTAGAGCAGCCCCAGGAAACCAGTACACCTGGTCCTATCAGAGAAAATACCAGATAAACCCAGCTTGGGGCCATGCTGCAGGACGCCAGCCAGTCCTGGGAGGAGCCTGAGGACACAAGTGAAAGCCACGTGGGATCCTGGATGCGGGCCTGGGGCGGAGAGCATCCTGAGCTGGTGACTGGGGAGCAGGGCCGAGCTGGGGAGGGGCTCGTGCTAACTTTGAGGAAGGCCATGGGGTCTGGACCCACCATTTCCCAGGACCCAGGCTTGGGGTGGTCTCAGGCTGGGGCTGTGAATTCTGGGTACAGGGTCACCCGGGGCGTGGGACACAGGAGGGCCTGGCATGAGTGATGGCAGAAGGGGCCAGCTCTGGCCCCGGACAAGTTCGTACCTCATTCGGAGCCTCCCCCTGCCCCACGCCCCCAGTCGCCTTAGCCCCACCCCCTCGCCCTGCATGGCATTTTGACAGCTTTCTCCTCCTAACTTTCTCTGCGACTGCCGTCATTGGCTTCCTGTGAGCAGGATTTTTTTTTTTTTTTTTTTTGGCTGAGTCACAGCTTGTGGGATCTTAGTTCCCCAACCAGGGATTGAACCCCGGCACCTGGCAGTGGAAGCGCGGAGTCCCCGCCACTGGACCGCCACAGGGTTTTGCTTCTCTCCCTCATGCTAGGCCCAGGAAAATGCCTGGCACAGCAGGTGCTCAGGAAACCTGTGAGTCCACTGTCTACGCTCGCGCTCGCGGGGCTCCCTCTGAGGAAATACCGAGCATCTTCAGGGTAGCACTGTGCACAAATCGGATGGTCCCACATTAATATCTAAAATACCTTTATTCATCTATCACGGAAAACTTAGCAGTGCAGAGAAGTCCCAGAAGTGGAGCAGTCTGTGTCTGGCGTCCCTTCTCCTTCATCGATCTGTGTGTGCTTAGCCCAATAACACGTTTTTTGATGACTGTGGCTTTATGGTGGGTTTTGAGAACTGCGTGGCTGTTCTTCCCAGTTTTACTCCTTGTCAAGACTTTTTTCAGCTTGTCTCACACACTTAACTCTTCCAGAATCAATCACCCATCCATGTGTCCCTCCCTGCATCCAACAGTCATTGAAACAGTGCTGACAGAAGACATCTCTTTCCCTGTGGGACTTACCTTCAGGTAAATTTGCACCAGCAAAATTTTGTAAAGAGCCAGATAGTATATAGTGTCAGCAGGCCACACAGTCTCTGTCCCAACTGCTTAATTCTGGCATAGCAACACAAATGCATTAAGACAGAAATGAATGGGTGTGGCTGTGTGCCAATAAAACTTTATTTACAGAAACAAGCGGTGGGCCAGATTGAGTCCCAGGGCTGTAGTTGACCAGCCTCTGCCTCAGTGGTTCCTTACGATCTTTAGAATCAATTTATCAAATGCTAAAGGAATTGCCTGGAGGGATTGGTCTTTGCAAAGATTCAGGTTGGGAGAGCTGACAGTTTAGAATACAAAATATATCTGGGAACGTGTTTATCCAGGGCATTTTTGTGAAACCTTAGGAAAGTTTTGTAGTTTATTCAAATAGGTCTTGCACGTATATTGCTAAGTTTCTGATTAGTTTTTGTTTTTTCTCTGTTGTGAGTAATTTCTCCATTGTACTTTTTCTAGTTGGTTCTTGCTGGGAAGCTGTAGTTTTTTTGCGCATTTATTTTTATCTATTTGAACGATTTCTTTCTGAACCCTTCTTAGCATTAATAATTGCTCCACTGATTCTGTGGTCTGGCACTGTCCAGTAGACTTTTCTGTGATGTTGGGATTGTTCTAGATCTGTGCTCTCCAGTCCTAGCCACTAATCACTTGTGGCTGCTGAGCACTTGAATTGTGGCTCTTGCAACTGAGGAACTGAATCCTTTTTTTTTGTTTTGTTTTTTTCGGACACACTGCCTGGCTTGTGGGATCTTAGTTCCCCAACCAGTGATTGAACCTGCGCCCTCGGCGAAGGCGAAGAGTCCTAACCACTGGACGACCAGGGAATTCCCAAACTGAATCTTTTATTTACCTTAATTTTAATTTAGATTTAAATAAGCCCTGAATTTAGAGTTTTAAGTGAGACAGTCATGTTATGGGCAATTAACTTCTCATTCTCTCTCATAATTCTGCCTCATTTTTTCTGTTCTGATTGCATTTCTGACCACCAGGGCATTGTTCCGTAACAGAGGTGTTTTTCACAGTTCAGTGTGATCGTTGATACTGGTTTCTGACAAATCCTTTTTCATACAGTAACAAGTTTCTTTCCATCCCTTGTTCACTAAGAGTTTCCATGAAGTGTGGGCATGGGATGTTATCGAGTGCTTTTAATGGATTTTGGTTTGTTTGATCTGACAATTGGCCATGTAGAAAATTATGCATTTGTGTGAGAACTGCCATAGCCCAGTTTGGGAGCCCTTTTGTCGCCCCCAGAAGCCCCTTTCCCCACTTACCCTCAGTCCCCACTCCCACCCTGATCCCTGGGCAATCCACTGACCTCCTTTCTCTCTAGTTTTGCTATTTGTAGAAATTTCATAGAATTAGAATGATAGAATGTGTAGACTTTGGTCTGGCTTCTTTCACTGAGTGTGCTGTTTATAAGGTCCATCCACACCGTTGTATCGGCAGTTCATTTCTTTGTATTGCTAAAGTAATTCACGTTACTACTGAATTCCATTGCATGGATGGACCATGCTTTGTCCACTCACTAGTCGATGGGCATACGGGTTATATGGGTTATTTCCAGCTTTTCATTACGAGGAATCATACTGCCATGAACATTCCACATTCGTGTGGAAATATGCCTGTGGAAGAACGGCTCCTTTTCTCTTGGGTGAATACCTAGGGATCGCATGTTGGAATTACAGGGTAATGTGACATTTTAAGAAACTGCCAAACTGGTTTCCAAAGTGGCCGCCCCATTCCCCACCCCCCAGTGGTGCCCGAGGGTTCCAGAGTGTCTTTGGCCTATAGGTGAGTTGGGAAATATTCCCTCCCCCTCTCCTTTCTGGAAGAGTTTGCATAGGGTTGGTATTATTTCTTCTGGGAATGGGCTTTTCTGTGTGGAAAGATTTTTTAAAATATTTATTTATTTATTTGGTCTCACCAGGTCTTCGTTGCAGCAGGCGGGCTCCTTAGTTGCGGCTTGAGGGCTCCTCAGTTGCGGCAGGTGGGCTCCTTAGTTGTGGCATGCGAACTCTTAGTTGTGGCATGCATGTGGGATCTAGTTCCCCGATCAGGGATTGAACCCGGCCCCCCTGCATTGGGAGCGCGGAGTCCTATCCGCTGCACCACCAGGGAAGTCCCAGTGGGAAGATTTTTTTTTTTTTTTTTTTAATTGGCTGCTTTGGGTCTTTGTTGCTGTGCACGGGCTTTCTCTAGTTGCGGCGAGGTGGGGCTGCTCTTCGTTGCAGTGCGTGGGCTTCTTGTGGTGGCTTCTCTTTGTTGTAGAGCACAGGCTCTAGGCACGTGGGCTGCAGTAGTTGTGACACGCGGGCTCAGTAGTTGTGGTGCACGGGCTTAGCTGCTCCGCGGCATGTGGGATCTTCCCGGACCAGGGCTCAAACCCGTGTTTCCTGCATTGGCAGGCAGCTTCTTAACCACTGTGCCACCAGGGAAGTTCCGGAAGATTATTAATGACTAGTTCACTTACTTGTTACGTGTTTGTTTAGATTTTCTCTTCACCAGTGAGTGTTGGCAGCTTGTGTCTTTCCAGGAAGTCGTCCATTTCCTTTAAGTTGTCTTAAGTTGTTGGCATAAAGTTGTTTCAAAGTTCTTTTATCACCTATAGGGTCTGTAGTAATGTTCCCTTTTTCATTCCTGATTTTGGTAACCTGTGTTTTTTTCTCTTGGTCAGTCTAGCTAAAGTTCTAGCAATTGTTGATTTCCCCGCCCCCCACCCCCAAAGAGTGACCTTTAGGTTTCACTGTATTGTCTCTGTTTTCCCATTCCCAGTTTCATTAATTCCTCCTCTCACTTTTATTATTTTCTTCATTCTTTGGGCTCGATTTGCTCTTCATTTTCTAGATTCTTGAGATGGAAGCTTACCTTGCTGATTTAATTTTTTTAATTAATTAATTATTTTTTGGTCATGCCACACATGGCTTGCAAGATCTTAGTTCCTCAACCAGGGATTGAACCCAGGCCCCGGCAGTGAAAGTGCCAAGTCCTAACCACTGAACCACCAGGGAATTACTGGAAGCTCACCTTGCTGATTTTAGATTTTTATTTAATACATATATAATGTTTACTTCTAAGCACTGTTTTAGCTGCATCCCTTACATTTTGATGCGCCGTGCTTGCATTTTTGTTCCAGTTAAGATCTTTTCTAATTTCCCTTGTGTTCCTTCTCTGACCCATGGGTTACTTAGAAGTGTTTCATTTCCAAATATTTGGGGATTTCTCAGAGGTCTTTCTGTTGTTGGTACGGAGTTTAATTCCTCTCTTTGGAGAACATGCTTTGACTGCTTTCAGTGCCTCTGAGTATCTTTGTTTGGCCTTGCATGTGGTCTGTCCTGGAGAATGTGCCATTGCACCTAAGAGCGTGCATTCTGCCGTCGTTGGGCTGAGGGTTCCGTAAAGGTCGCTTGGCAGCACTGTTCAGTCTTCTGTATTCTTGCCGAGTTTGTCTGGCCGTTCTGTCAGTTGTGGAGAGTGAGGCATCAGAACCTCCAACGATAATTGTTGGATTGCCTCTTTCTCCTTTAACAGTCAGTTTCTGCTTCGTGTAGTTTGGGACTCTGTTGTGTATTCATTTGTACTGTTACCTGTCCCCATGTACTGACCCTCTGTTCACATGAAACGTCCATTGTTCAGTAATATTCCTCATCTTCATGGCTGTCTTTGTTTTTTTTTTTTTTTTTCACGTCTGTCTTGTCTGATATCTGTGTAGCCACTCCAGCTCTCTGGTGGTTTCCAAATGCAAGGTATGTCTTTCCCCATCTTTCTCCTTTCATTCCCTTTGTGTGTTTGAATGTAAAATTTCTGAGCCCGTGACATCCATCTGTCCCATCTCTGGTGACGTGAGCCTTGGTCATGGGGTAGATTTCTTCACTGGATGTCACCACCGTCTCCTTGTAAATCACCCTTCCCGAGGGATACTTTGGGACTGTACAGACATCCCATTTCCCCCTCCTGCTTTGCCCGCTGGTGTATGGTGGTTCCTGCTGGAAAGAGTTATTTACTCTAGCATCTGCCATATGGTGATTTCCTATTTCCATAACTCCCTCTGCATTTGTTAACTGGGGTTCTAAAAGGAAGAGCTGTCCCTTCTCCCTTACTCATCCATTCCTTCAGTTATATATTTATTTCATCATGGACTCATGGATATTGATTTTATCCTAGGGGTCATCATCCGACACGAACATTATTTTGTTGTTCGTATCGTCCCAGATTTGGCTCCTGTGTCCGTTCAACATTTCCCTGTCATGTTGGAGCGTGTTTTTACTTTCTGGCACCACAAGATACTCCAAGCTCGTCTTGTCCTTCCCCTGCCCCAGCCCTGCAGTCAGCCATTTCTCCAAGGAGCTCTGGTTCGTTTTTAGTGGAAAACGGTATTTAGAAACCAAGACTTGGGTGCTGGGTGTGCCCGCTGCTGCTGGGGTGTTGTTGTTTAGAGACCTTTTTAGCAGGTAGAGCGAGGAAATGTACCAACACACACATATCTCTGTTTGTGTCTCTCCACCCGTCTGTCCATCCATCCACCATCCAGCTACCTGTCTAAAAGCCACGAGATCATCTTGATCGCTCTGATTTCGGTTCAGCCCTCCAGAATTTATTCCAGCCCCCCCCTTATCTATAACTGTTCCCTCCCACGATGAGGACCCTGGCTCTCATTCTGCACACGTCTACTTGGTAGCACAAACCTAGATATGTAGAGTAGTTTCAGAGCTGCTAACCCTCTCCTGTGAAAAATACTTTTACTAAGTAAAGCACAATATTTGTATGCAGCTCTTTTGGCCTTTAACCTGTTTCCCAAAGCTACTTAGCTGGTCTTTTCTTCCCTGCCCCTTCAGGGTAGTATGTCATTCTTTCTTTTCTTTTAAATTTTTAAATTGTGGTAAAATACACATACCATAAAGTTCACCCTCTTTACCCTTTTTAAGCGCACAGTTCAGTGGCATTAAGCACATTCACATTGTTTGCAATGATCCCCACCATCCATCTCCGTAACTTTCTCATCTCCCCAAACTGAAGCTCTGTCCCCATGAAACACTGACTCCCCCTCCCCCAGCCCCCAGCCCCTGGCCACACCATCTACTTCCTGTCTCTGTGGATCTGACTCCCCCAGGGACCTCCTGTGCGTGGAATCAGACAGTGTGTGTCCTTCTGTGTCTGGCTTGTCTCACTGAGCATCATGTCCCCAAGGTCCATCCACTCTGTAACATGTGTCAGAATTTCCTTCTTCTTAAGGTAACTAATACTCCTTGTATGTATGGAGGGACCACATTGTGTTCATCTGGCATCTGTCCATTGATATTGGGTTGCCTCCACCTTTGGCTGTCTATATGAATCGTGTCTCTGTGAGCACTTGTGCACAGGTTTTATGTGGACGTGTGTGTTCGTTTCTCTCGGGTACGCAACTTAGGAGTGGAATTGCCGGGTCAGACGGTAACTCCACATTGAACCCTCCGATGAACCACTGGCCTGTCGTCCAGCGCTGCTGCACCCTTTATGTCCCCACCCGCCCTGCACGAGGGCTCTGATCTCTCCACATCTGCAGCAACTCTGGTCATTGTCCGGATTTTCTATCCTAGCTGGCGTTTCCTAGCGGGGGTGACGTGGTGTCTCATGGTGGCTTTGATTTGCCGTGTTCACCGTCATGTTTTTGAGGATGGATGGATAAGGGAGGGTAGAAGACTCCTGGTGGGAGGCGAGCGAGGGGCCGGCGGGTGAGGCTGTGGGTGGAGGAGCCTTGGAGGTGTTCAGACCGCCTTCGACCCAGCGGCCTTGCCAGCCCTGGGGTTTGTCGCCACGTCCGCCGAGGGCACTGAGGGTGCATACAGCCTGGCATCCGGGGCTCTGCACAGACACACAGGCCCAGTTGGGCCTCCTCTTACTTCCTGCCAGTGAATCGTTGGGGAAAGTTTTCCCTGCAGGAGATCAAGATGCTTTGTTTAATCTAGAAAGAAAGGAGGAACAGGAAGACACTTTATTTATGGAGAGTGTGCGTGGGGAAGTGCAGTGAGGCTCCGGGGGCCCAGCTGTGGTGGTGAATGAGAGGGGCTTCGAGGACGCGGTGGGGCAGAACAGGGCATGAGCGACCTCGGGCGGCTGAAACGAAGCACCGCCGCTGGATGGGCAAAGCCGCACAGATCTGTCCTCTCTCAGTTCCGGGATCCAGAAGCCCAAGGTCAGGGTACTGCAGGGCCGCGCCCCCTCCAGAGGCTCCCGGGAGGGTCCTTCCCGCCTCCTCCGGCTTCTGGGGCTCCAGGCTCTGCCTCTGGCAATACGTAGCCTCTCCCTGTGTGCCTGGGTCCACATTTCCCTTTTATAAGTCATTGGATTAGGGCCAGCCCGGATTTGGGTGGCCTCATCTTAATGAGTGGCATCTGCAAAGACCCCGTTTCCAAACAGGGTACCATACTGACGTTCCAGATGGACATGACTTTGGAGACACAGTTCACCCCTCTACACTCACACTCCGTTTCCCACCTGGCCCCCATCGCTGGTCTGGCTTTCGGGGTGCCGTAGAGCCCCGGGCCAGACTGGGGACCAGTCAAGGGCCTGGTGGGGCCGGGAGCACCAGTCCATGACGGAGGAGTGGGTGGGAGGCGGGGAGGCGGCTCTTTTCGCGGAGAGTAGGGGGCTGCCCGGGTGGGGCTCGCTGGGAGCGGTGGGAACGTCCCCTGGACACTGGGCAGAGGCCGGGAATCGGGCTGTGGCTGCCGACTCCAGCGGTTCCGCAAGGGGGTAGCCTCTCAGAGCCCTGCGTGTGTCACCGTGGGGACCCCGGCAGGGGCTGCGACGTGGGGCCTTGCAGACCCAGAGGACAGGGGCTCTGCAGGGCCGCCCCTGGGTAGGCTGTCGTGGGGCAGGCCCTGGGGACCGCGGGTGCACAGCACAGTGGGCGCATGACGCCAGGCAGAACCTGCAGGCCCCCATGGCCACCCACGTCTGGATGCTCCCTTGGCCTCCACGCCCTTCCCCACGGACTCAGCCCGATTCAGGTGACCCCGCCAGGCCTTTCCTGACTGCGCCCTCACTGCCCTGCGTTCTCCTTCCTGCCCCACTGTCAGGCTGTCCATGCCGTGGACCCGTGGCTGCCTTCCTCCAACAAGGCCAGGGTCTCAGTGCCCACAGCGCCAGCACGGGGGCCGTGTGTGTAGAGCGAGGAGGGAGTGATGAAGGAGCGGGTGAATGGGGGAGGCAGGGAGTGGTTGAGTGAGTCACTGAATGAATGAATGAAAGGATGGGGTGAATGACGAATGAATGAGGGAGTGAATGAATGGATGAATCAGTGGGTGAGCCAATCAGTGAGTGAAGGAATGAGTGAGTGAATGAATGACGGAGGGAGGGAGCGGTTGAGTGAATGAATGATTGGGTGAATCCGTGAGTGAATGAGCGAATGAGTGAGTGAATGAATGACGGAGGGAGGGAATGATGGAGGGAGGGAGTGAATGAGCTGCGTGGGGAGGGCATGAGCTCTCTGCCATAAGCCATTCGGCCCCTGGGGAGACGATTTCGCTTCTCCGGCCTCTGTTGCCACCGACCCACACGCGCTGCCCTCTCCATCCTCAGGGCCTTCCTAACGGAAGCACCCAGGGCAGGGTGCTCTGGGCACAGCATCTGCTGCAGGTGCTGGCTGGGGCGTCGCTGCTGCGGGGACGCTCGCCTTCCTCGTCCCAGGGCCCTGACAGCCCCCCGGGCTCGGGCGGTGGGGACCGGTGGGCCTCGCGAGGGTAACCGGGTCTTCTCTGACACACCAGGTTCGTGCTGGCCGTGGGCAGCGCCGTCTTTGACGCCATGTTCAACGGGGGAATGGCCACCACGTCCACCGAGATCGAGCTGCCGGACGTGGAGCCCGCTGCCTTCCTGGCACTGCTCAAGTAAGACTTTCCAGGTCCTTCACGCCCTGGGGGGAGGGACAGACACACCTGATGTTTAAAAAAAAATAGAGCCCTGGTGACATTGCCTCCAGAGCCCCCAGCTACCTGGAGATTTCTAGAACTCACCTCCTCAGTGAGGGGTGGGCTCTGGACGCCCCCCCATTTTCATTTTTGTATCTTTAATATCAGGATGTAATTTGCATACCATACAACTCACCCGTGTGAAGTGTACAATTCAATGACATTTAGTATGTTTACAGTGTGTGCAACCATCACCTCTAATTCCAGAACATTCCATCACCCCCAAAGGAATGGCATCCCCCTCCCCCAACCCCTGACAACCAGGAACCCACTCTCTGTCCCTGTGGATCTGCCTGTTCTGGACGTTTCCCATCAGTGGAATCACACCCTGTGTGTCCTTCTGCGTCTGCTGCTCTCACTGAGCATCGCGGTTCCAGGTCCACCCACGCTGCAGCGTGTGTGAGTCCCTAAGTTTTCATCCTTTCAAGAGTTTTTGAAGAAATAGCCTGAGGCAAGAATTTTAAATTCCACCTGTATTTTTTCTTCCTGGGTTTCAAATTTTTTCTCAAGGACTTTAAAACAAATATAGTGGATGTTGGGGGTGGGAGTGCCGCCCACAGATTGCAGCTCCACCGAGGAGGAGGCCGGCGAGCTCTGTGGAACTCCCATACACCTCCCTGCTCCGCGGAGCACCGTCTTCCCCTGTCCGGAAACCCTGGGTGTAAATGGTCTGGGTGGCTTGAAAGGTTATCCCGAACAGTCAAGACAGCTCTTCAGATGTGGAGCTTATTTTTTTTCCCCCTTCTGATTATAAAAATGGCTTTGGCTCACAGAAAAAAAGGGAGAGAGAGAAAGAAAAAGGGAGGGAGAGAAGAAAAGAGAAAAGAAAGCATAAGGAAGAAAATGGAGTGAACCTATCTCTCAGCACCACGGGGGCGGGGCCGTGGCTGGTTGCTCCCATTCATATCGGGTCCCGTTTATATTATGTGCTCACAGCGCCCCTCCCCACCCACTGCGTCGTCATCTCCTTTTTTCCTCTGGTGTCTGCAGGGTGTAAACTGGTTCCCTTCAGCTCCATCTAACAGTGTTGAATCCTGTGGGCTGATCACAGCACTTTGTGGAATAATCTCACTCCTCTGTCTTTAGGCAACTTTTCAGATGGTCCCTCAGACCAGGGGCCGCAGGCTGCCCTGGGGTGGGTGGGAGGGCAGGGGCTCTGTCTCCACAGCTCCCCGCCGACATTGCAAAAGCAGCCTGGAAGGATTTGTAAACTGTGGGCAGGGCTGTGGGCCAAGGAAACTTTATGTACAAAATAGGGGACAAAAGCACGGTGAGATATCACTTCACACCCACCAGGGTGGCTATTATTAAAAAACAAACAAACAAAACGACTTGTCTCGAGGAGGTGGAGAAATTGGGACCCTTGTGTGCTTCTGGTGGGAATGTGAAATGAGGCGGCCACTGTGGAAACAGTCTGGACGATCCTCAGAAGCTAAACATAGAATCACTAGGTGCTCCAGCAACCCCATTCCTGGGTACATCCTCCAAAGAAGAGAGAAGTGGGGGCTCGAAGAGATATGTGCACACCCGTGTTCACAGCAGCTTGATTCACAACAGCCAAAAGGTGGGAACACCCCAAGTGTCCATGAACAGTTGAGGGATGAACGAGGTGTGATCCATCCACACACTGGAATGTTACTCAGCCTTCAGAAGGATTCTGGAATTGAGTAACACATTAAAAGGATCATGCACCATGATCAAATGGGATTTATTCCAGGGCTGCAAGGATTCTTCAGTATCTGCAAATCAATCAGCGTGACACACCACATCAAGAGGTTGAAGAATAAAAACCGTACGATCATCTCAATAGATGGCAGAAAAAGCTTTTGACGAAATTCAACACCCGTTTATGTCATAAAGGATTCTGGCAACTTCCCTGGTGGTGCAGTGGTTAAGAACCCAACTGCCAATGCAGGGGACACGGGGACACACAGAGCAACTAAGCCCGTGCACCACAACTACTGAGCCTGTGCTCTAGAGCCCACGAGCCACAACTACTGAGCCTGCGTGCCACAACTACTGAAGCCCGCATACCTAGAGCCCGTGCTCTGCAACAAGAGAAGCCACTGCAATGAGAAGCCCGTGCACTGCAACAAAGAATAGCCCCCGCTGGCCGCAACTAGAGAAACCCCATGCACAGTAATGAAGACCCAACGCAGCCAAAAATAAATTAATTAATTAAAAAAAAAAGGGATTCTGACGCTTGCTCCAACAAGGATGGACCTTGAGGACATGATGCTTATTGAAATAAGCCAGATGAAAAAGGACAAATACAGTGTGAACCTACTCACAGGAGGTCCTAGAGGAGTCACATCCATAGAGACAGGAAGTAGATGGTGGGGCCGGGGGCTGGGGGAGGGGGAGTCAGGGGACAGAGTTTCAGTTTGGGAAGATGAGAAAGTTCTGGAGATGGATGGTGGGGATGGTTGCACAGCAATATGAATGTACCTAATGCTACTGATAAAAATGGTTAAAATGGTAAATTTTATATGTATTTTACCATAATTTTTAAAAATGTAAAAGTCATATCTATAAAAAAAATCAAGACCCCAAACAGGTGACGGGTTGCAGTTAGCCAAACCCTGCCTTAGTCTAAGCTTGGTGAGATGTGGGGTGGAAGGCTGTTCTCTCCGTCTCCCTCTCCATCCCTGTGTCTCTCTCTCTCTCTCTCTCTCCCTGTCTCTCTCTCTCTCTCTCCCTGTCTCTCTCTCTCCCCGTATCAGCTTGGGTTTTGGTAACCAAGCTGCCCCGCCGAGAGGGTGGACACTATCTCCACTGGCATGTGAAGGGCTCCCCCATCTCCCCGCACGTGTCTTGGCCTGTCCCGTTACCAGGTCCCCCTCTGCACTGATGGCATGGGTGGTCGTTCTGTCCCTGACCCCGCCGGCCGCTGCTGTTAGGGCTTCCTGTGCATTCTCAGGGGAGTGAGTCCCAGGAGAGGGGGGCCCCTTCCAGGAACTTGCTCTTTGGGCGGCTCCCAGTTGGGCTCTTCTACCCCGCCCCCAATCCCGTGTCCATGGTGCCCGTGGACGGACACTCGGGTGGTTTCGCGTGGATCGCGCTGCTGTGAACACGCGTCATTTCTCCCGGACGCAGAGGGGTGAGCTGCGCGCCCAGGGCCGCCTCTGAGGCGCTCCCACCAGACGGACCAGGGTTCTGATTTCTCACCCTCTCCCCGTGGTTTTGTAATCGACCCTGACTTCTGACCCACACGTAGAGTCGGGCCGATGGCGGGTGGTCAACACGTCCGGTATCTGTGATTCCGGCCGGCATTTCTGGTCCCGTTAGTGGTCGGGCATGGCAGCCGGCTGTGGCCGGGTCGGGGGGCGGTGCGGAAGCCTCTCCGCGTCCCGGGGCAAATCCCGTGCTGCCCACGGAGGAGCCGGACAGAGGCCTATCTGCTGTGTAGACTCGTTTCCAGGGTTTGCCTGTGGGCACTCCTTTTCCCGGGTAACTGCCTTTGCGGGGTCACATCCACAGGTCAAAGGGCGACCGATGCTAATTCGGTTGGTTCCTCGGGCCAGGCCGGTGGGTGGGGGCTGGGCGGCTGTCCTCATGCCGCCGTCCGCTCCACCCCCCTCAACCCCGCTCCAGGTTTCTCTACTCGGACGAGGTTCAGATCGGGCCTGAGACGGTCATGACCACGCTGTACACCGCCAAGAAGTACGCGGTGCCCGCGCTCGAGGCCCACTGCGTGGAGTTCCTGAAGAAGAACCTGCGGGCGGACAACGCGTTCATGCTGCTGACGCAGGTACGGGACGGGACGGGGCGGGGTGGGGGTGGGGTGCAGGTGCGGGGCGAGGCCACAGGGGGCGGGGCGAGGGCGCGGGACCCGCTGGGGAGCAGGTGCTCCGGGTCTGCGCAACGATGCAGGTGCGTGGGTGCGAGTAAGGATGGGGGAATTTCGGAGTTTAGGCGCCGCTTAACTCTTGCGCCCGGGTGAGTGTCTCCCTCACTTCATCTTGCCCTTGTCCCTGCCCCTGGTGGCACCGCGGTGTTTCCCTGGTCGCCTCTCGTGCAGTGCACCTTGTTGGCAGGCCGGCCTCACAACAGTCATTTACTAAAGGATTCCCGTTGGCGTTTTGGTGTCCTTGTGCAGAGCTCAGGTGTGGGGGGAAAGGCGTTCCGTACTAGGTTTCTTGGAGGGGGACCCTTTGGGGTTGTCCGGTCTGACGGTCTGTGGCGGTCCTGGACCACTGTGGGGGTTGGGAACCTGGCGGGACGGGGCAGAGCCCGAGTGTCATCGTGGCTCCACAGACCCCTCGCTGAGATGGCACCTGGGCCTTGGCCCCGTCTGCTGAGTCCCTCTCAAGGGCCAGAGCCTGGACCGTCGGGTGGGGCCCGGCCGCTCCCGGCTATTTGTTGAGAGCTGCAGCCACGTGGGGTGTCCTAGCCTCCTAGCCAGGCCCTAGGCAGAGACCGATGCACAGGGGTGTGGGCGTCGAGCTGCCCCACAGGTTCTCCATCCCCGGCCCCCGCCCCGTGTGCGAGTTCTCGGTCAGAAGCACAGCGCTGCTGCGTCCCACGGGTCCTCTCAGCCGTCTCCCCCGGGCTCCTGCCTGCTGCAGGGGGCGACTGGGCCCGCCTCCAGCCTGAACCTCTAGGTGCCCCAGCTTTTGAGGTGTAGGCCTGACCCCCGCCCCAGGCAGTGGTTACTGAGAGTCTGTGAACCTCAAGAAAGAAGATCCCTCTGGACCCTCGGCCCAGGATTTGAAATCTGTGCCCGGGACTTGAAATCCGTGCCCAGTCTGGAGCCAGGGTCCATCTGGCTGGGTGTTGACAGGCTCTCTCCCCCGCAGGCGAGGCTTTTCGACGAACCGCAGCTCGCTAGCCTGTGCCTGGAAAACATCGACAAGAACACGGCCGACGCCATCACTGCAGAGGGCTTCACAGACATCGACCTGGGTAAGGCCACAGGGCCGGGGAGGGCTCGGTGGTCACATGCGTTCCGCCGAGGCCCCGCCGCCTGCCCCACTCTGCTGCTGCCCGGGCCGTGGACAGCCTGGCCGCGAGCCGGTCAGAGGTCATCCCCGAGGCCATGGAGGCCGGCGCTCGCTGATGGCCCCTCCCCTGCAGACACGCTGGTGGCCGTGCTGGAGCGGGACACCCTGGGCATCCGCGAGGTGCGCTTGTTCAACGCTGTCGTCCGCTGGTCTGAGGCTGAGTGTCAACGGCAGCAGCTGCAGGTGACGCCTGAGAACAAGCGGAAGGTTCTGGGCAAGGCGTTGGCCCTCATCCGCTTCCCGCTGATGACCATCGAGGAGTTTGCTGCAGGTAATGGTCATGGGGCGCCGAGGGAACGCTCAGGAGGGGTGTGACCCCAGGGACCCTGCTGCGTGTGACTCAGTCCCATGACCCTCGGCCCGGCCACAGCGGGTCGGGTGCTGGCCGTGTCCATGCGGGAGCCTGGACTGGCTCGAGTGGGTGAAGATGGAACGACCCCCAAATGCCGACCCTCCCGCGTCCCAGCCTCTCCCACCCCGTCTCGGGTGTCCACACGCACGTGTCCGAATGTACCAGGCCCCTGAGGGTCCCGTCTGGGGCTCAGGTCCTGGGAGCTGGGCTCTGGTGCCCACGTCCTTGACGAGCCCCATGAAAGGGTGGGCAGTGTCTGGGACTGTGGGCCGCTGCTGCCGGGCCTGGGCTTGGGCCCAGGTGGGGTTGGCCCTGACCCTGCCTCTCGCGCTGGGGGCACACTCGGGTCTCGGGGATGTGCAGCAGCGGCAGCGGTGGCCAGCTTGGCGACCCCTCCCCTGGGCCTAGGCCTCCCCTTCATGTCATTCTCATGGCCGGTGCCGACCACGGTCCTGGAGCCAAACTGGCCTGGAAGGCTCTGGACGGGGCTCCGTGATGCAGCCCCGTGGCGGGTGCACTGCTGTCCTGCCTCTCCCCGGTCCGTGCTGCCCCTGCTCCCACCCAGGCTTAGGGTTGCCAGGTTTAGCAACAAGAGCAAACAATTTTTTTTAGTGTAAGTGTGTCCCGTGCAGCAGCTGGGAGACGCTTATCCTAGAGATCAGCCCTCTTTGATCTGGAATCAAGACTTGACTGGGTGTCCTGCATTTTATCTGGCGGTCCATGGTGTTCCCTCAGTGCTGGGGCGAAGCCTGAGAGGCTGTCTCCACACTGGGGGTCACTCATCCGTCAAATAACTTAGCACCTCCTGGGTACCTGGCCTTAGCAGTACAGCGGTGACCGAGGCAGCCTGGGCACTGCGGACATGGGGCCGGGTCCTACTCTGGGGGGGGCCATCCTGGGCACTGTGGGGTGTGGAGCAGCCTCCCTGGTCCCACCCCCTCAATGCCAGGAGCACCCCTAGTCATTTTTCTTTAACAGTATGAGGGCTTTATTTTTTTATGTTTATTTATTTTTGGCTGCGTTGGGTCTTCGTTGTTGCGCGCTGGCTTTCTCTAGTTGCGGCGAGCGGGGCTCCTCTTCCTTATGGGCACAGGCTTCTCAGTGTGGTGGCTTCTCTTGTTGTGGAGCACGGGCTCTACGTGCGTGGGCTTCAGTAGTTGTGCTTGCGGGCTCAGTAGTTGTGGCTCTTGGGCTCTAGAGCGCAGGCTCAGTAGTTGTGGCTCACGGGCTCAGTTGCTCCGCGGCATGTGGGATCTTCCCAGACCAGGGCTCAAACCCGTGTCCCCTGCATGGGCAGGCGGATTCTTAACCACTGCGCCACCAGGGAAGTCCCAGCACCCCTAGTCTTTTTTTTTTTTTTTTTGCGGTATGCCGGCCTCTCACTGTTGTGGCCTCCCCCGTTGCGGAGCACAGGCTCCGGACACGCAGGCCCAGCGGCCATGGCTCACGGGCCCAGCCGCTCCGCGGCATGTGGGATCTCCCCGGACCGGGGCACGAACCCGTGTCGCCTTCATCGGCAGGCGGACTCTCAACCACTGCGCCACCAGGGAAGCCTGCACCCCTAGTTTTGATCACAGATGTCCCCAAACATTGCCCAGTGTCCCCTGGGGGGCAGGATGCCCCAGGTGAGAGCCCCGAGGTATAGTGTTGAGCTGTCCCGGCCTAAGGCATCTGCGTGAGCCTTGCTGGACCCCTCTCCAGCCCCGTTTGCGCCCCCGAAACCACTCTCCTCATAGGCCACCTGGCCGCCAAATCATCCGGGGTCTCAGGTCTCCTAGAAGCGCCATCCCCTCACCACTCTCCCATGATGGGCCCCCAGGCCAGAACAGCCCACCACCCCTCAGCTTGCAAGTGCCTGGGATGAGTGTGTGTGTGTCCAGGGGTTGTGAGCTGGGCCTCTGGCCTTGTCCCTCTGCAGCATGGCCTGCGAGGCTTCAGCTCTTTGTCACTCAGTGTGTTGTAGAGAATTCTCCTGCCTATGTTCCACTTGAAATTACAAGAATGTAGAGGTTTGAAAAAAAAAACTCCCCCAAAGACTCCCCTGGCTCAGTGTGTCACAACTGAGGTCTGATGTATTTTTCTTTCTGTATTCTCTATGCAGAGATGTAAAAAAAAATGGTTATCTGTATTCACTTTTATTTATTCATTCATTCATTTTTGGCTGTGTTGGGTCTTTGTTGCTGTGTGTGTGGCCTTTCTCTAGTTGTGCCGAGTGGGGGCTACTCTTGGTTGTGGCGCAGGTTTCTCATTGCGGTGGCTTCTCTTGCTGCGGAGCACGGGCTCTAGGCGCGTGGGCTTCAGTAGTTGTGGCTCGCGGGCTCTAGAGCGCAGGCTCAGTAGTTGTGGCGCACGGGCTTAGTTGCTCTGCGGCACGTGGGATCTTCCCAGACCAGGGCTCGAACCCGTGTTCCCCGCATTGGCAAGCGATTCTTAACCAGTGCGCCCCCAGGGAAGCCCTGTGTTCGCTTTTGTATCTTAACTTGCTCTTGTGATCCATGGAGATCTCTTGCCCTGTTGCTCAGACCTGTGTGCCTGTGAGCTGTTGGGGCAGTGGGCCGGGTTGTGGCTGACCTGCGCAGAAATGAGCTCAAAGCTGGTGAATGAGTGATTCTTGTAAAGCGAGGGTGGTGTCGTAAGGCCTGCATCAGGCACCCTGTCCCGGTGCAGGTGGCGGGCAGGGGCGTGTACAATCCTTCCACACTGCCTGTCTGCCCCACGCGCCGCCCCCCCCGCCCCCCGTCACCAGCTCATGGCTACATCCAGGCCCCCACCTCCAGACTCCAACTCTGGGCCTCTCTTGGGGGCTGGCATCCCCCCCGTCTGTGTAGGTGCCTGGGGTGGACGGGGCAGGGCAGTGGGTGCTCCGTGGAACAGCGGTGGTCCCCTGGGGTGGTCCCAGTGGAGGTGGGGAGGCCTGGGGCAGTGAGGGGGATTTTGCCCGATTAGCCAGCAACTCAGAGCGTTGGCCCCATGTCTGCTTCGGGTCCTTCCCCAAACGTGGCAGAAGGGCCATCCCCCCCGTGGGGGTGGTTGGACCAGTGATGTTCTGCAGAAGAAAGATGCTGAGGAGTTGAGAGGCTGGGTGCCATGCTTTCCAGTGTCTTCTGCGTGCTTGGGGTCTGCCCAGCCTTCCCTACCCGCCCCTGTGCCCTCAGGGCCCGCACAGTCGGGCATCCTGGTGGACCGCGAGGTGGTCAGCCTCTTCCTGCACTTCACCGTCAACCCCAAGCCACGCGTGGACTTCATTGACCGTCCACGCTGCTGCCTCCGCGGGAAGGAGTGCAGCGTCAACCGCTTCCAGCAGGTGGAGAGCCGCTGGGGCTACAGCGGCACGAGCGACCGCATCAGGTAGGCGCGGGCCAGGCGCACGGCCGGGAGGCGTGGGCGGTGAGCACAGCGGTGGGGGGCTGGGGTCCTCCGTGGGGAGGGGCGGGCACTGAACGGTCGAGCTAGCTCAGCATTTCCCTCCTCTGACGGGTTCAGGTTCTCGGTCAACAAGCGCATCTTCGTGGTTGGCTTCGGGCTCTATGGCTCAATCCACGGCCCCACCGATTACCAAGTGAACATCCAGGTACTGCTTGCCTCCAGGCCCTGCCCCTCCACATCCCACCGCGTCCCTCTCAGTCGAGGGTCTGCTTGTGTTTCCCCCAAGGTGGCACGAGTGTTCTGGAGTCTGGGGGACCCAGGACGATGCCTCCCCACTCCTGCCACTGGCCTGCTTCACGCAGGTCACGGTCACGGGTCAGACCCCCCCGCTGCAGGGCCTGGAGGGTGGGGCTCAGCCCTGGGCTCCAGGCTTCTGGGGGTCCTGCGGGTGGGCACAGGCGCCGGGGGGCCAGAGTTAGCTGTGCCTGGCTCCTGGCCCACAGATCATCCACACAGACAGCAACACGGTCCTGGGCCAGAACGACACAGGCTTCAGCTGTGACGGCTCCGCCAGCACCTTCCGAGTCATGTTCAAGGAGCCGGTGGAGGTGCTGCCCAATGTCAACTACACGGCCTGCGCCACGCTCAAGGTGTGCCCGACCCCAACCCTAGCCATGCCCCTGACGCCCCACCCCACCCAGGACCGAGACCCCAGCCCTGGTCCCTGAGCCGAACCCGGGACCCCGACCCCTAACTTGATCCTGACCCCTGAGCCAAACCCGGGACTCTGACCCTGAACCTGACCCCTGAGCCGTACCTGGGACCCCGCCTCCCAGTCCATTGCCCACCTCTGACAACGTGGGGCTAGGAGCGCGCAACCCTGCATCGCAGCCATGGAGGGCCTGCTGCCCGCGCTGGGTCAGGATCCTGTGCCCTGTCCACACGCAGCACGTCCATCCTGACCCGCCGGGCCCCACCCCGCAGGGCCCGGACTCCCACTACGGCACCAAGGGCCTGCGCAAGGTCACCCACGAGTCGCCCACGACTGGGGCCAAGACGTGCTTCACCTTCTGCTACGCGGCCGGGAACAACAATGGCACGTCCGTGGAGGACGGGCAGATCCCTGAGGTCATCTTCTACACCTAGGCTGTCCCACCCCACGCCACGCCCGCTGCTCCCCCTGCCTCGGTCCCGGGCGCCAGGAGGGCTCCTCTGTTCCGAGGTGGCGGGTGGGCAGGGCAGTGGGAGACAACCCCTCAGGACTTGGGGGGCAGGGCCGGCCTGACCCTGCCCTGAGCCGAGGGTCTGCCCGCTGCCCCTGCAGCTCAGGGTTGCCTGACCAGCTGCCCGACCATAGGATTCGTGTAGGGTGTTGCCTCGTGTTTGTTTCAGCTGCACGTGGCAATGCATCTTGGATTCCCGTTTCTCTGGTAGGAGACCACGTACGGGGCCCCTAGTGGGCCTGGGTCCTGCGTTCCTCTGTTCACTGGGGACACTGAGACCACCCTGACCCACCCCGAGGATGCGGGCTCAAGCCCTCCCGAGGTCCTGCAGGCCGGCTTCCTGCCAGCCCCAGGCCTAGCCCGTGGGCCCAGTGAAGGACCATCCCTGTCCAGCCCTCCTGGACGGCCCCTCCCAGCCCCTGCAGCTGTGGACACAGGTGGCAGACCCTGTCTGCCTGGGAAGGGCGATGCTGCGGGCCACACACGGGGGCCGCATCCCAGCTGGCCCACCTGCACATCCTGTAGCCCCACTCCCGGCCCCCAGCGAGCACTCTGCACAGAGGTGCTGGAGGGCACAGCCCCTCCCTGACCCCCAGGTACTGTCCCCTCCCCACCCCCATGCTTCCACCTGGAGCCTGTGTCCTCCCCGAAGCCATGGAAGGTGTGTCCTCACACCACACCCCAAAATGTTTTTTTTTTAAATAAAGGAAAGAAACTTACCGGCCCTGACCCACGTGCTGCTTCCCAGCAGAATGGGCCCCTGGCAGCTGGAGACCTGGCCCTTCTCACTGCATCTGTTTCCCCACCGTTAGAGGGGCCAGCTGGGCTAGGGGACCCACAGGAGGGGCCATCTCCTGACACAGACTTCTCACCTTCGGGGCGTCCAAATCACGCGGGGCTCCACGTGGGCTGCGGACCCTCCCCAGACCCTCTGTCCTCTGCACAAAACCCTGGGGCTCCCGTTGTGCCCCTGCTGTGCAGCGATCAGGGACCCTGGGCAGGGTGGGCAGAGCCACCAGCAGGTGATGGCCACGCAGTGGGGCTGTGCCCTGGGAGCCTCCTGGCACTTTCTGAGGATGTCAGCAGGGCCTCCACTGCAGTGAGCCATGCAGGGACTCTTGTCAGCTCTGCCCTCTGGACCTGGAGCTGCACCCCAGAGCGGCCCTGTTGGCTCTGCGCCAGGGGAGTCCCCTTGCATTCACACCCCACCCCTGACCCCTCCTTCTGTGCAGTGAGGACTCTTGGGTACAAGTAACAGTTTACACCCGAGGTGGCCCAAAGGAGGATGTGGCATCTTACTGTTCCAAGGCAGGGACGATCCAGACCCAGGACTGGGCTGGCTGCCGAGATCCACTGTGGCCCTCAGGCTGTGTCACCTCCTGAGACCAGCCACACTGCAGGCAGACCCCAGCTGAGGGATCCACGGGGTGGGGGGCCAGGCCTTCCACTGTAGCCCCCAGAGCAGTCTGTCCTGGAGGCCACTGCAGTTCAGGGCTGCCGCCTCAGGACAGGATGACAAATGGTGTCAGATGAGGGCACAGCTGGGGCACCCATGGCAGGTGGGCATGAGTAGGAGCAAAGCCTGGCAACGAGATGCAACAAGATGGTGGGGTTGTCAGAATAGCCCCCGAGACATCTGCGTCCCACTCCCAAGACGTGTAGCTATGTAGGGTCACGGTGACCTGCCAAAAGGAATGTGCAACTCACCCTCTGGAGAAAGACGGACAGTATGAGCCTCTACCAGCTGTCATGACAATGTCCTACAGCAACTCAAAAATTACAAAGCAAGAGAGAAAACGGAAACCGATCCACATGTACTTCAGAAATGGGAGTTATCACATACCTCAGCATAATAAAGGCCATATTAGGCAAACCTACAGCTAACATCATACTTACGGGTGAAAAGCTAAAAGCGATTCCTCTAAGATCAGGAACAAGAAAAGGACTCCCATTCTTTCATTCAACATAGTTTTGGAATTCCTAGCTACAGCAATCAGAAGAAGAAATAAAAGGGATCCAAATCGGAAAAGGAAACTTGTCACTATTTTCAGATGACATGATATTATACATAAAAAATCCTCAAAACGCTACCAGAAAACTACTAGAGTTCACCAATGAATTTGGTAAAGTCACAGGATACAAAATTAATATACAGAAATTTGTTGCATTTCTATACACTAACAATGAAATATAAGAAAAATTATGGAAACCCATGTACCATTGCATCAAAAAAAGTAAAATACCTAAGAATAAATCTACCTAAGGAGGCAAAAGACCTGTATGCAGAAAACTATGAGATGCTGATGAAAGAAATTGAAGATGACACAAACATATGGAAAGATATACCATGTTCCTAGATTGGAAGAATCAGTATTGTTAAAATGACCATACTACCCAAGGCAATCTACAGATTCAATGCAATCTCTATCAAATTACCAATGGCATTTTTCACAGAACTAGAACAAAAAATTTTTTAATTCATATGGAAACACAATCCCAAATAGCCAGAACAATCTTGAGAAAGAAAAAAAGAGCTGAAGTCAGAACACACTCCATGACTTCAGACTGTATCACAAAGCTACAGTCATCAAAACAGTATGGTACTGGCACAGAAACACACATATAGAGCACTAGAACAGCATAGAAAGCCCAGAAATAAACCCACGCGCTCACTGTCAGTCTATGAGACAAGGATATACAGTGGAGAAAAGACAGTCTCTTCACTAAGTGGTGTTGGGAAGACTGGAGAGCTAAATCTAAAAGAATGAAATTAGAACATTCTCTAACATCATATACAAAATAAACTCAAAATGGATTAAACACCTAAATATAAGACCAGATACTATAAAACCCCTATAGGAAAACATACACAGAACACTCTTTGACATGAATCACAGCAGTATCTTTTTGGATCCACCTCCTAGAGTAATGGAAACAAAAGCAAAAATAAACGGGAGCTAATTAAACTTAAAAGCTTTAGCACAGCAAAAGAAACCATAAACAAAATGAAAGGACGACCTATGGACTAGGAGAAAATATTTGTAAACAATGTGACCTACAAGTGATTAATTTCCAAAATACACAAACAGCTCATGCAGGCTCAATATCAAAAAAACAACCTGGGACTTCCCTGGTGGTCCAGTGGTTAAGACTCTGCACTCCCAAGGCAGAGGGTCTGAGTTCGATCCTTGGTCAGGGAACTAAATTCTGTATGCCACAACTACAGGATCCTGCATGCTGCAACTAAAAAAAAAAAAAAAAAAAAGATCCCACACGCAGCAACAAAGATCCCACGTGCCACAACTAACACCTGGTGCAGCCAAATGAATAAATATTGAAAAATAAACAAAACCCACAACCCAATCAAAAATTGGGCAGAAGATCTAAACAGCCATTTCTCCAAAGAAGATATACAGATGGCCAACAGGCACATGAAAAGATGCTCAACATCACCAATTATTACAGAAATGCAAATCAAAACATTACAATGAGATACCACTTCACACCAGTCAGAATGGCCATCATCAAAAAGTCTACAAACAATAAATGCTGGAGAGGATGTGGAGAAAAGGGAACCCTCCTGCACTGTTGATGGGAATGTAAATTGGTACAGCCATTGTGGAGAACAGTATGGAGGTTCCTTAAAAAACTAAAAATAGAACTACCATATGATCCAGCAATCCCACTCCTGGACATATATTTGGACAAAAGCATAATTCAAAAAGGTACATGCAGGGACTTTCCTGGTGGTCCAGTGGTTACAACTTTGCCTTCCAGTGTACGGGGTATGGGTTCAATCCCTGGTTGGGGAGCTAGGATCCCACATGCCTCAGGCCAAAAAGCCAAAACAAAACAGAAACAATACTGTAACAAATTCAATAAAGACATTAAAAATGGTCCACGTCAAAAAAAAAAAAATGTACATGTAACCCCTATGCTCATAGCAGCACTATAATAGCAGCACCATAATAGCTGACAATAGCCAAGACATGGAAACAACCTAAATGTCCATTGACAGATGAACGGATAAAGAAATGCTACATATATAAAATGGAATACTGCTCAGCCATAAAAAAAGAATGAAATAATGCCATTTGCAGCAACATCAATGGACCTAGAGATTATCATACAAAGTAAATCAGAAAGACAAATATATGATATCCACTATATGTGGAATCTAAAAAATAATACAAATGAACACATGTACAAAACAGACTCACAGACATAGAAAACAAACTTAGAGTTACCAAAGGGGAAAGGTCCGGGGGGGAGGGAGATAAATTGGGAGTATGGGATTAACATACACACAGTACTATGTCTAAAATAAACAACAAGGACTTACTTAGAGGAAACTATATTCAATATCCTGTAATAACCTATAATGGAAAAGAATCTGAAGAAGAACAGATATATAGGTAACTGGATCACTTTGCTGTATACCTGAAACTAACAGAACACGGTAAATCAACTATACTTCAAAAAACAATAAAAGAAATTGGAGTTATCAGAGAGTTCATATATTCAAGACAGTAGAAAAGTGGACAAAATAGATGTAATAGTAATTTCAACAAGCAGAACACTCTCTCATATAAATTGCAGCCATGTCTTTTTGGATTCACCTCCTAGAGTAATGAAAATAAAACCAAAAATAAACAAATGGGACCTAACTAAACTTAAAAGCTTTTGAACTGCAAAGGAAACCATAAACAAAACAAAAAGACAACCTAAGAAATGGGAAAAAAACATTTGCAAACGATGCGACCTACAAGGGATTAATCTCCAACATATACAAACAGCTCATGCAGCTCAATATCAAAAAAACCAAAAGACCCAATCGAAAAATGGGCAGAAGATCTAAATAGGCATTTCTCCAGAGAAGATATACAGATGGTCAAAAAGCACATGAAAAGATGCTCAACGTCACTAACTGCTAGAGAAACGCAAATCAAAACTATAATACGAGGGGCTTCCCTGGTGGTGCAGCGGTTGAGAGTCCGCCTGCCGATGCAGGAGACGTGGGTTCCTGCCCCGGTCCAGGAAGATCCCACATGCCGTGAAGCGGCTGGGCCCGTGAGCCATGGCCACTAAGCCTGCGCGTCCGGAGCCCGTGCTCCGCAACGGGAGAGGCCACAACAGTGAGAGGCCCGCGTACAGCTAAAAAAAAAAAAAACACTATAATACGAGGTATTACCTCACATCAGTCAGAACAGCCATCATCAAAAAGTCTACAAACAGGGACTTCCCTGGTGGCGCAGTGGTTAAGAATCCGCCTGCCAATGCAGGGCACACGGGTTTGAACCCTGGTCCGGGAAGATCTCACATGCCGCGGAGCAACGAAGCCCGTGCGCCACAACTACTGAGCCTGCACTCTACAGCCCGCAAGCCACAACTACTGAGCCTGCGCTCTAGGGCCCACGAGCCACAACTACTGAGCCCGCATGCCACAACTAGTGAAGCCTGCACGCCTAGAGCCCATGCTCCGTGACAAGAGAAGCCACTGCAGTAAGAAGCCTGCACACCGCACTGAAGAGTAGCCCCCGCTCACCATAACTAGAGAAAAAGCCCACGCACAGCAATGAAGACCCAATGCAGCCAAAAATAAAATTAATTTAAAAAAAAGTCTACAAACAATAAATGCTGGGGAGGGTGTGGAGAAAAGGGAACCCTCCTACACTGTTAGTGGGAATGAAAATTGGTGCAGCCACTATGGACAACAGTA